TAAATAAGATGTCAAACAGGGTGGTGATGGTGCTTGCCTTTAATCCCAGCAGGTGAATTTCTGTGAGTTCAAGGCCAGTCTGGTCTACAGAATGAGTTCCAGGACAGGCTCCAAAGCTACACAGAGAAACCCTGTCTCAAAAAGAAAAATTTCAATTATTTTTCTCTCTCAACCTGATGTTTGGAAGAGAAAAATGTAGACAAAATTATGCTCATTTGTTAATTGTTCAGTTTTTGACTCCTTGGGGCCATAAAAACACCCAGCTCAGTTGGCTTGCAGGCTGGGACTGGGCTGGAAGTGCAACCCGGCAGGAGGGAGTACCTGGGTTTCAATAGCCTGCCTGCTGGTGGTGGAAAGGTAGGCCCTGCATCAGCTCAGCAAGAATCCTGGCCACCAAGGGGCACTGATCATCTTGCAGCAGATTCATCATTGGGGTGAGTTTGCTCTGACCCATGGCAGAAGCCCGACAAGGATGAGCTCAGACATCCCCCATCCCCCTTGACTCCCTGGCCACTCTGCAGGGGCTAAGCCCTCTCGCCTCCTAGCCCATCCCACCTTTCATCCAGGAACCCCTTCCTTCATTCCTCCCTTCCTCCTCGGGGCCATAAAATCACCCAGCTCAGCCGGCTTGTAGGCTGGGACTGGGCTGGAAGTGCAACCTGGCAGGAGGGAGTACCTGGGTTTCAATGGCCTGCCTGCCTGCCGGTGGAAAGGTAGGCCCTCCATCAGCTCAGCAAGAATCCTGGCCAGCACGGGGTGCTGATCCTCTAGCAGAAGATTCATCAGAGGGGGGAACCTGACCCAGTACCAGAAGATCCACTAGAGAACATCTGAAGGAAGAGATGGGCCAACACCAAGGCAAGAATTCCTCCAACAATCTGAAAAACAACATGAAATCACCAGATCCCAGCGATCTTACTACAGAAAGACTTGAACACCCTGTTCCGGAAGAAGTGAAAAACAGTGTCATTATGAAAGCAATAGAGTCCCTTAAACAGGGTATGAATAACTCACTTAAAGAACTGGAAGAGAAGTAAAACAAAAAGATTGAAGAAATGAGTAAAGATATGGAAGAGAAATATAACAAAAGATTTGAAGAAATGAGTAAATCTGTAAACGAGACCCTGGGAAACCAAGAAAAAACAATCAAACAGGTAGTGGAAACAGTTCAAGAACTGAAAGCTGAAATGGAGGCAATGAAGAAAACACAAACCGAGGGCCAGCTAGATATGGAAAATCGAAGTAAATAAACAGAGACTTCAGAAGCAAGCATATCCAATAGAATACAAGAGATAGAAGAACGAATCTCAGATTATGAAGACACCATAGAGAAAATAAATGCTCTGATCAAAGAAAACAGCAAATCCAACAAATCCTCATCACAAAACATTCAAGAAATCTGGGACATAATAAAAAAAAATCTAAGAATAATAGGGGTAGAAGAAGGAGAAGAATTGCAGATCAAAGGTCCAGAAAATATATTCAACAAAATTATAAAAGAAAACTTTCCCAACCTAAAGAACGATATTCCTATGAAGGTTCAAGAAGCATACAGGACACTGAATAGACTGGATCAAAAAAAAATCCCCTCACCATATAATAATCAAAACATAAAACATTCAGATTAAAGAAAGAGTATTAAGAGATGCAAAGGAAAAAGGTCAAGTAACTTATAAAGGTAAACCTATCAGACTTACACCAGACTTCTCTATGGAAACCATGAAAACCAGAAGGTCCTGGATAGAGGTACTGCAGAAACTAAGAGACCATGGATGCAAGCCCAGACTACTATACCCAGCCAAGCTATCATTCACTATCAACGGAGAAAACAAAATATTCCAGGATAAAAACAAATTTAAACAATACGTAGCTACAAATCCAGCCTTACAGAGAGTATTGGAAGGAAAATCACAACCCAAGGAATCCAACATTCCCAGCACTGCCTACAATAACTCAGACAGCTAGTGACCCTTCACAAGCACAACTCAAAGAAGGGAAACACATACACTCTACTACCCAAAAAATAAATAAATAAATAACCGGAGTCAACAACCACTGGCCATTAATATCACTTAATATCAATGGACTCAATTCACCTTTAAAAAGGCACAGACTTAGAGATTGGATATTGAAACAAGATCCAACATTCTGCTGTTTACAAGAAACACACCTCAACCACAAAGACAGACATCTACTCAGAGTAAAGGGTTGGGAAAAGGTTTTTCAAACAAACGGACCTAAGAAACAAGTGGGTGTGGCCATTCTAATTTCCAGCAAAATTGACTTCAAACTAAAATCAATCAGAAGAGATGGAGATGGAAATTTCATACTCATAACAGGAACAATCCATCAGGAAGAAGTCTCAATCCTGAATATTTATGCCCCAATATAAAGGCACCCACTTATGTAAAAAAAACACTTCTAGAACTCAAGGCAGTCATTAAACCACACACACTAATAGTAGGAGACTTCAACACACTTCTCTCACCAATGGACAGGTCAATCAGACAGAAACCTAACAGAGAAATAAGAGAATTATTGGAGGTATTGAATCAAATGGACTTAACAGACATCTATAGAACATTCCACCCAAATAGGAAAGAATATACCTTCTTCTCTGCAGCTCATGGAACCCTCTTGAAAATTGACCACATACTCAGTAACAAAGCAAACTTCCACAGATACAAAAAAATATTAGTAACCACCTGTGTCTTGTCAGTTTTTGAGTTAGAGTCTCTATACCTACTTTACAAGTGAAATGAAGTATATATACCTTTGAAAACAAATTTATCTGATAAAATATATTAGTTGTCATATAAGCACACTCTGAACATAATCATAATGGATATATTACCTTAAATATGAAAATATCTGAATCAAAGTATATATGTTTTCCTTAATATACTATATTTCTCTGATAATTGCAAAATCTAATGGAATGACTCTTTCTCCATCAAAATATTTGGAAAGTATTTTTCTTACCACACTGAATAAAGCAAAAATATCAGAAGGCCCCGAAAAATTTCAGAAGACATTAGGGACTAAAATTGTTAGCTACAGGGGACTAAGGCATGGATACAGCCTATTGAAAGAATATTTGTCTAGCATGGGCCAGGTCCAGGTTTGAGCCCTAATGCCAAACTTTGAAACATAAGGAGTAGATATTTTTGTATATTTCTTTATATATAAAATTGAATGGAAAGATTCTAAAAATACACAGGCTTTCTGATTATGGTACATTAATCTCTTCTCAAATGCATCATATCTTACACAATACAAATTTTAAATTTAGCCCAAATTTTTCTTAAACTCAAAATCTAATGAGTATCAACCAACTTCTTGGTAAGGTGCGAGACTAGACATTGCCTCCTGTGACTCTCTGGGGAAGTGGGAGTAATAAAAAGCAGACGTTATTCCAAAGAGGAAGAGAGGGAGAGCTTCAGAAATACACGAAGTAAGAGGTAGGACAGATGAAAGGGTAGGTTGGAAGCCTTAATGGAAAGACTGCCAGTCCTACCTACAGAATGATCCCACAGAACCCATAGGTCTCGCATCCATTTGGAGGGGAGGAGAGTATCTTTTCCGACAAGATGTGTCTGCAGTAGCAAGGACTTCCCCACCTCAGGGGACACTGGTGAGACAGTATTTTGATAGGAAGCTATTGTTTAAAATGGACTCCTGGGATGCCTGGTGCATGATTTACTTCAGCCTGGTCTACAAAGGAAGTTCCAGGTCAGTCAGAGCTACATAGAGAAACCTCACCTAAAACAAACAAACAAACAAACAAATTACACACACACACACACACACACACACACACACACACACACACACACACACGCGCGTGCGCGCTAAGGAATCCTAACTCAACCCACCACAACTCTGGGATGAGACTGCCCTGGAAGGCAGTATTGGAAAGAAGGAAGGCATAATGGTGGGGGTGGGGGTGGGGATGAGGGGTGGGGATGAGGGGGTAGGATGGGATGGGAGTGGGGTGGGAGGTAGGGGAGAGAAGGGCAAACAGTACTGGCGGTAAGAGGCTCCGCCCTTATATTGAACAGGGAAATATAGTCATTTCCTACATAGGAATAAGCTTCATCAACTGAAAATAACTATAGAATTGGATTGCTCTGAGTCTGAGGTTAGTGGGTGGGTCAACCTATAGAGCCAGTTACCTGAAATGAGGTTCACTCGTGTAGACTCAACGATCTCTGAAGTTCAAGTGGACCGGACTACTTGTCTTCTACTCCCCTATTGGGGTGCTGGATGCTTAGCAGATTTTAAAAGTATGAACACAGATCTCAGACCTTATAATGCTTCCTACACCCCCCAAACACAAGGGAGCTACCTTCCAGATAGAACGTTGATGATCTCGGGCTTATGAGTCTCAGGAAGATGGGAGAACATGCCATGACAATACACTGCAAAGTTAACTGTAGCCAGCAGGGGCCCCTTGTACACAAAGAAGGGGAAGTACTAAAAATCTAGACAGCTCTGAGTGATATGGGACAATTGGCCCATACCAGGTCAGTATTAATATAAATTATAAGAAAGAGACTACAGACTCAACTACCCCACGCACATATGCATACGATTTTTCAGGACCCATACATATCTTTTTTCTTCTTTTTGCCCCTAGTGGTTTTCTATTAATTTCTTACTATACGTTTAGTAGTATGTTGACATTATTATCACTTTCCTTTAAAATATACCTTATTTTCTTTGCTCCTCATATTATTTACCTAATATTACTTACGCATTAGACTTCTTTTAGTCATCCCTTCCTTCATACTTTGTTTTTCTTTTTCTGCCATGTTTAATTCCCCTTTCTTTCTCTGTACTATATTAGTAGTATTTTAACTTTTTTTTCAAATAAATTTTATGTTTTAACTTTTTATTTACCTTCCTAAATTAACAAATTTGGGATATTTTTCTCATTATTAGGAAACCATTTTTTTCATTTTCTCTTATTTTTCTAATTGTATTATTTTATTTTTCTCTTTGTTGACACTTCTTTTGCATTTTTAATATTTTATATTAACATAATTTTTATTGATTCTTTGGGAATTACATGTAATGCACGCCAATGCCACTCACTTTCCAGGCCTTCCATGTCTGACCTCCACCCTTGTAGCCTCCCTTACTAAAAGAAGATTTTTTTTTTAAAAAAAGCACTTTACTCCTCAGTCTTTCATGCTTCTCCATCACATATTCATTTGTTGTAGCAGCCTTGAGAGCTGCGGTGTGCCAGGAAGTATTTCTGCCCAAACAGCTTTATTTTGTGTTGGTCAGGATCAAGACCTCTGGCTTTTGGTACACCATCAGCCCTGGACCCTCATCAAAATTCCTCTGGGATATTCTGCTGTTGCCTCAACTCATAGAAGTTTTGTGGCTGTTGCTTTGCAGGACCAGACTCTTCATGTGCTCTAGCAGGTAGGTAGTAGATGTTGGAGTGGGTCAACTCAAAGCCCTAGAGGTGGGTGGGGGTGGTAGCTGAGTTGATCAGTCCAGGCCTGCATTGGGAGTGCCCGCCTGAGGTGAGAGTCAGGGCCAGCTCTCCCTCACTATGGTGGGGGATGAGATCAGCTTTTTCTCATGCAGGGCCCCCTCTCCTGTTGCCTCTGTCAGTGAGAGGTCAGTGATTTTCCCAGGGTCAGCTATCGGGTGCCCATGTCACTGGGGCCAATTCTGGGGGCAGGGAGCTCTCTTGCTGAGGCTGCTGGGAAGGAGCTACTTTCCCATGGGCCCTGGTAATAATGTGGGCCAGAGACATCACCACAGTCTCTGGGTGATGTCTCTGGTCTGGTTCATGACCCAGACCACATGTCATGAACCCAGACATGGCCCTCAGCTGCAGCTTGGGTCCAGATGTCACCATGTCCCTGGGAGGCAGCACAGTTGGGTATGGACCCAGTGGCAGTGTGTCCCTTGAATACCAACATGGCCTCAGGCAGCAACCCAGACTGCACTGCTTTGGGTGACAACATGTGCCATGGACATCAACACCGACCACCATGGACCCCGGCAGGGACCTTGGCTGCAGCTTGGGCCTGGCTATCACCATGGCAGTACAGGGCACTCAGATTAGTATATCCCCACTGACGGACTGGCCCGCAGACTTCAACATGGCCTCAGGTGTGGGCCCAGACCACAGGTATCTGTATGCTCTTCAGTGGTAATGGGTCATGGACGTCCACACAGACCCCAGCTGTGGTAGGGCCACAGATCCAGACACGGTCCTCAGCAGCAACCCAGGCCTGGACATCATATGGCCCCAGGTGGGAGCACCAGCCACCCATATCATCCTGTTCCTCATTGCTGGGGCATCTTCAGTCCTGCTGCTCTCCACAGGGTGCGAGCGCTCTGCTTCTCTCTCTCTCCCATTTCTCAACCACATACCTGCTCATCTTAGCGACACCTCCCTGACTGGGCCAGTCTCCAGTTTTAATTTAACCTTGTTCTCCTCGTGAGTCCACCCTCAGGCCCTTCTTTCCGCTCACTCATTTACAACACCAGCCCTCCATTTGCCTTAAAGAATTTTTTCTTTTGTTTTGCTTTTGTTCAAGAAAAATTTCCTTTCAGTCATAGAAAAACTATCTCCTGATAGGTACTAGAAAGAAAAAGATGCTAAAGAGTTCTGAGACACTGGGTTGTTCCTGGGATAGGGAGGAGGCAGAGAGGCGTAGATTTTAAAGTCGCAGTGACATGGACAGACGAAAGGACAGAAAGTGAGACAAAGCCTTGGAAGGCTGGGAAGACGCACCTGTAGAACCAGGAATGCACCTGGAACAAGAGATATACTGGGCCCATGCTGCAAGAACACAGGCTGAAGCTGTTTCAGTTCCTCTGTCATCTCTTCCAGTTTCAAACGCCAGGAAGGCAGTATTCAGTTCAGCTCAGTCGAACTACTTTTTCTTCCACTGATTAGAATATTGCAGATAAAACAGACCTTATATAATGGAGAAGATGCAATTACTCATAATGAAAGGAAGGGATACGCTTTGACATGGGGTTTAGTCATAAGAACCCCAAATAAAAACGGGAAGTGGATAGAAGACTGGAGTACAAGGCAAAGCATCAAGGCAGTGGATCAGGCACAAAAACCAGTAATATAAATAAGTCATCATAGCTGGCAAGTAAAGATCAGGACAGAGTATTAGGAATGACTCTAAGACACATTTGTACAAGAGAGCACAATCTCAGGGTCGAAAAAGGACAACACGAAACTTGATACTAAGTTTAGTTGTTTTGGGATAAGCTTGCAGGTGGGAAGTTATTGCATCTGTGGCCATTTGAAATTAAATAGAATAGAATACTCAAGAAAAACAAAATGCTAGATATTATACACTATTTCCCTGAGAAAAGTATTTATGCTAACTTTATGAGAAAGTTAAGTCTTTCTCTTCTCAGTAAGGAATAATGAGTAGGTTCACTCCCTATAAATAATACACATGAAGAACAACAAAGGAAAGACACAGGGGAAAAAGAGAATGAGATGAGAAAGTCGAGGGTGGTAATACTGGATGTAGCAAGGTTTAAATGGGGATAGGAGTGGGAGGCTAGAGTACAGGGCTGGTAGGGAGGGAGGAGGCTAAAAGGGGGACTGAGCATGATCACAATGTATTACACAATGTACAAAATTGTCAAGGAATACATTAATTAAAAGGAAAGAAATTTAAAAGTAAATGAAAAGTAAGGATACAAGTAAAGGAAGAGAAATTAGAAGGAAGGCAGAAATGCAGAAATGCCTGTAGACTTCCACAAGCCCCATGTAAGAGGCATTGCAACAGAAAGACCCGAAATTAAAGAGGAGATAAACAATACAGCTGCAATAATCAGCAGACATCACTAGACAACAACATCATGGAACAGAAGAATAGCTTGTTATAGCAGGATGCAGATCAGGAAACAGTAAATGAACTACTGGAAGGCCCAGATTTATTTTTATAATAGAACTGTTTTCCAATTGTTTGCCTATAGATAAAATGAAATGTGTATATGTAATTCATCATTAGTAATTACTTTCAGGCTTAAAAAATCCTACTTATAATTACATTCATACAACATGTGAATTGCGAGTCTCCAAACATGACTCCTTCCCCATTACTAATTAAAGTCTTAGTTCCAAAACAGCACTTATTTGGTTGCATTTTTGAATGCTCTAAGATGCACAGTGTGAAAATCAGCCACTTACACCTACAGATACTTTAGCTCGCAGGTCTTGTGCATGCTGTCACAATCACCGTGACAAATAGGAACAGCAGACATGCTGGATCTAAAAAAATTGTTTCCTTGCAGTTATTTGCCACCTCTGGCTCTTCCACTCTTACCACCCTCTCTTTAGCAACAACTCCCGAGCCTTAGGGGCGGGATAGAGAGGGGTCTGACAGAGACGCATCCTATTTAGGTATGAACATTCTGAAAGCTTCATTCTCTGTACTTTGACTAATATGGGCCTCTGTGCTAATCACCATGAACGGCAGAAACGAGGGTATGGAACAGGGATGGATCTGTGAGGAGATGGGTGGAAATGATCAAAATATATTGTATAAAAAATCTCAAAGAATTTATTTTAAAAAACCCATTCAAATCCCATGACCAATCAAATAGGGGTGTGGAGACAGCTTCATAGACAAATAGCAAAAGCGGAAATTGAACTTTTACCACATGACCTACATAAAAACAATTTAAAAGCAGTCAAACATAAACATTTAAGGGCTGGAATGAAAAAGATGTACGAGTAACAGTATAGTGCTAAATATTACTGACTTTGGACTAGGGAATGGATTTCGTTTATAACACCTAAAGCATGCAAACATAGGGGGAAGAAGAGTAAAATTTTTCTGCTTCAAAAGAGTGTCAATAAAGTAGGAAATCACCGCCAAGAATGGGGGAAACATTTGCAAATTATACATATGACAAAAGCTAAAAGTTACATAAACAACAAAATAGCACATAATACAAATTAAATGTGGGCCAAGACCAGATAGACAGTTCCCAAACAAGATACTCAAATGACCATGTTTGTAAACTAAAAGGCATTCAGCATAATTAGTCACTGGGTCAATGAAAAATAAAACCACAATTAGAGAAAAAGGTGGAAAAAGCAGAAACTTATGCATGCGTGTGTGAACACATGAGCACATGTTAAGACTTTTTGAGTAGGAAGAGTTTGGTGCGCTTGTTGCTGGGGAACATTACCTCTGTCAGTGCAAAATGAAGCCCAAAGCTGTTGGTTGTGTATCCTGAGAAATTTCCCTTAGGAGTCTCTATTCGTGTGTTGCTGTGATCCAGACCTGTGCTGCAGGGGGGAAATGAATATTAAGATAAGGCGGTACAAAACAAAGTTTGTGTTTATTAAATAATACGTGTGTACACAATCAGAGAATCAAGTGAGAGTGTAAGGAAGCAGATTTTAAGTGTTGGATAGGGTAGGAAGAAGTGGAGCTCAGTGCTCTCATGATCCTGGGGAAACAATAAATTAGTCTGCTTGGAGTAAACTCCAGAGGAGGGTGCTTTGTTTTTCTATTATCTCATACCATGAACAGGGAAACAAAGCTGTTCTAATGGCTGTGGTAATCCCAAGCCACTCTCACTGACTAGCTGTTAAACAAAACAATATTACAGGGGTGAAGGTCCCCAAACTTTGTTCTTCCAGAGGTGTTTAAAGCATAAGAAGACACACAAAGAGTTGCAGATTAGAAGTAGCAAGTATGTGTTCTCTGTAGATTACAAAAAGACATGACAGTAGAAAGGATACTATTTGACGGTAGATGCAACCAGCAGAATTGGCGAGGAGGTGAAAACAGATTATTGTACAAATTATATGCACTGATTTTAAAAAGAAAACCTCCAGTTCTAATTGGCTGGCTAGTTTTATGTCAACATGACATATGCTAGACTCATCTGAGAGGAGGGAACCCCATTTGAGAAAATGCCTTCATAAGATAGGGCTGTAGACAGGCCTGTAGGGTATTTCCTTAATTAGTGATTGATGTGGGAGGGTACATCCCATCTGAGCTGGTGGTCCTGAGTTCTATAGGAAAGCAGTCTGAGAAAACCAGGAGAAAGCAAAGCCAGTAAGTAGCAGTCTTTTGTGGCCTCTATATCCGTTTCTGCCTCCAAATTCCTTCCTGAACTACTTTTGATGATGATCTGCCATACGGAAATATTATCAAAATAATCCCTTTCCTCCACAGGTTTCTTTTGATCATGAAGAATTAGCACTGCGAAAATATCTATATTATCTAAAGAATTATGAAGATTCATTACTATGTGTATCAAAACCTTAATGAAATTATTTATAGAACAGAGAAGACAACTTTGAAAGAGTTATGGAACTCTAAAAGATTTCAGAAAGCCCTGATAATTCAGAGAAGGATGACCACAATGGAGGCATCACAGCTGTTGGTTTGAATTATACTTTAAAATGACCAGGTACGCTGACACATCCTTGTTATTCCAGGGCACGGGAGACTGAGGCAGAAACATTGCAACTTTGAGGGCAACCACATAGTGAAAATGTCAGTGTGCACCTCAAAGCAAGACTGTTTCTGAGAAAACCACTCGGTAATAGTGTTTTCCTAGCACATGCAAGGCTATGGATTTAATCCCAAGGAACACACACATAAAGATTCCATAAAACACCAGACTGATTAGGAATGTATCCAGACTAAATCACATAAAAGACGTGAAACAATACTTAGAACAAGTATCTTACGAATCTCAAGTAGCTGTGGAAAAAAACCACTAAATCAATATCAGGTATACAGATGCATAAGGTATCATTATCTATGAGGAGAAAAATCTATAAAACACATAATACTCATCAGAAGTTGAACACTCCCATAGAGCTTACATTTATTCACTGGAAATATTATTAGATTATTTTGAGAGTTGAGAATGGGAATGATTCCAATTTGCAGAAAGTAAAGGAATCCAAAAAAGTTTGAAGGGGTGGAACATTCTGTGTCTTACGACCTTTTGAAAGTAAGCATCTGAAACTCCCTTCTGGAACAATGCCTGATATTAAGCAAAATCCCCAAATTGAGCAGATTTTCTAAAGAATGCTAGAATCTCCAATTTCAGGAAGAATCAGAAAACTACACACAAAAGTCTAGTTAGGGAACAGAAGCAGGAGGCCTCATAGCCAAGGCCATCTTTAAAAAATACATCACTCTGCCAGGCCAATGGTGACGCACACCTTTAATCCCAGCACTTGGGAGGCAAAGGCAGGCAGATCTCTGTGAGTTCAAGGCCAGCCTGGATTACTAAGTGAGTGTCAGGAGAGCCAGTACTGTTGTTACATAGAGAAATCCTGTCTCAAAAATAAATAAATAAACAAACCCATCACTCTGAGAGAAAAAAATATAAGATACTCCACAAACATAACTATAAAATCTCCTCTGACCCGTTCTTACTCAGAAAACTAAAGACTTTTTAAATTATTAACAGAAAAATAATGTGATAGAATTCTGTACAAAACTGCAAAAGAGAGACAAGTATGGTGGGATGTGGCTGGAGTCTCAGAGGGAAGAAAGCTTGTGGGAGTAACCAACAACTATCTGACTGCAATTAAGGCCACTCCATGAAATGTAACCCATGCCCTTCACTGCCCATGTGGCTAAGAACCTGTGACTTTATAGGAGTGGTAGTTTGAATGCAATTGGTCCCCATAATCTCATGAAGAGTAGCACTATTAGGAGGCGTGGCTTTGTTACAGTGGGTATGGCCTGGTTGGAGGAAGTGTGTCACTGTGGAGGCAGGCTTTGAGGTTTCCTATACTCAGCATACTGCCCAGTGAGTCAGTCGATTTCCTGTTGCCTGCAAGATATGGCACTCTCAGCCCCAGCGCCACATCTGCTTGTTCCCCATCATGATGATAATGGCCTGAAGCTCGGAAACTGTTAAGCAAGCCACTCCCAATGAAATGTTTTCTTTAGAAGAGTTGTCATGGTCATGTGTCTTCCTAGCAATAGAAACTCCTAAGACAATAGGCCATGAACCCAGGAGAAACCAAATACTACTGTTCTGTTAAAAAAAATGCAGCAAAAGCCTCCTATTAACACTCTGCTATTCTCATAGATGTCTTGCTCAGCCATCATCAGAGAAGCTTCCTCCTGCAGTAGATTGGGCTGAATACAGAAACCCACAACTGGACATTGTACGGAGAGTGAGAGACCTTGGACCACTCAGTCCTAAAAAGGATGTCTTCAACAAACCTCTTCCCTCAGGGCTCAGGGAACCCTGTGGTAGGGGAGGCAGAAAAATTATAACAGCCTGTGGGGATGGAAGACACCAAGGAATCAAGGCCTTCCTGACACAACAGGGCTTACACACATGTGAACTCACAGACACTGTGGCAGTATGCACAGGTCTAAGCAAGATGGGGAGGGGAAGTTGGCATAGCCCCCATCCCTAACGCAGAAGCTACCTCCACTTGGTAACCACTCGCAAATGAAGAGTTGGTTTTCTCCAGTGGAGTCTCACTGGATATACAAACCACACAGAAGGGCAGACCTCATGCCCAGCCGGAGAAGGCGAACATAAAACAATCTCAACAGACTTTTGGGGTTGTTTTTATTTTTCTCATAATGCTTTGAAAATTTTTGAGCCTTACAGATCTTTTGCTTTTATATTATGTTTTCTGCTTTTCCTAAAATGGTTTTCCTCTGTGTGTGGATGTATGTCTCAGTGTCTTTATGTGTTTCTTGTGCTTTTTCTTGTTTTTTCCCCCCGTTTGTTACTTTTGTATTATTCTGATTTGTTTGTTTTTATTTCATTTTGTTATTTTTTAGATGCCTGCTTATTTTCTAATGAGGGAAGGGAATGGTATGGATTGGTGGTGGTGAGGAGGTGAAGAGGATCTGGGAGGAGTTGGGGGAAGGGAACCATAATCCAAATATATTGTATGAAAAATCTATTTTAAAAAAGAGATGGTAGGAAGAAGAATCTATTTTTGTTACAGTCATTTGCAGAGATTAAGACAGTTATGATATTATCAGGTGATATAATCTTATACTCATTTGCTGAAAACGTCACTATGAGGAAATAACTGCATTAAAATGGCATAGCATCTACTTGGGAGAAATGTCTTGATGTTCCAAAGACTATTACAATTTAGTTAACCTACTGGAGTTTAGAGAAAAAACATTTGACATAAAGGACATGTACCAAATTACATGCATATGTAATAGATAAAAGTCATCAACATTTTCATGCATAAGCACAAATAAAGCCACTTCTTCTGATTATACATAAAACTTCAGACCAACTAAGACCATCCACACAAAGACAATAAGAGGAAATTAGTCATGTTGTAGACATCAAAGTATAGAAAGCATCTATACAGGATAAATTACTTATTTCTCTTCTGTGTTTCCATTACTTTGAACCAAATTGGGAGCCCCATCTTTAAAACACACAGTAAAACTCAGGCCACTAAAACTAAAAAAAATACTACATGGGAAGAGGAAAAGTATTTCACACAAGAGTGGAGATATTAGAAGACAAAGTCAATACATATTGTGTGTGCATTTTCCAATGACTAAAGATTACCCCATTTCTGCACATGTTTGGTAGCAGCCTAGAACAATACAACAGAGGTCTTTATAACTAAAATGAATATTAAAACCTTTCTCCATAAAATGGAAGAGAGAATTTGCAGTCTTAACATAATTGCATTCATTGTCTGTTATAGCAAATCAACATTCACATGGTATTTTTATTTGTTTCCTTTGTTTTGTTTTTATACATACAGAAAATGTTTCATTTTGGTTTATAGTTCTATAAATATATTTTGATAAGGAGATAGAAATTTAATTTAGGGCCTCTTACATTCTAGACAACTACTCTATCACTAAGCTAAATCTTCATATCCTCACTGAGTTTTCCAAGTATTCACAACCATAAATAGAATATAGAACAGTTCCATTACTATCCAAAATCTTCAAGCTTTTGTTAGTTTTAAAAAACTACCATTTATAGTCAAATTCTCCTCCTACCCTCAGACTTGGCAATCACCAATTATTAATCTAGCCCAATCGTTGGTCTTTTTGAGACTACTTTATAATATAGAAGTTAGACTTTCAGGCCTTCCACTAAACACAGTGGTAGTGTGGAGTCATCCCAAATTAAACTGCTTGGATAAAAATCTTTCAAAAAACATACACACAATATGAATATTAAAAACTATACATTTTCAAAAGAATCATAAGGCCTAAACAAATGGATACCTATGCCATGTTCTTGAACTCAGAGACTCAATAGTGATAAAATGTAAATTTTCCAAAGCATATCTTT